TATATATATATATATATATATATAATTGTGGAGTTTTTAATTAATGAAGGAAAGGGCCCATGAAGGAAAAAGTACCTAAGACCCACAAAAGTCATAATGCAGCCCTAGACCCAAGTCATTCAAAATTCAGGATAATTCTGGCTGGCCAACTAGGTCAGTAGGTTAGAGCATGGGGTTGACAACACCAAAGTCAAGGATATAGATCCCCATACCAGCCAGCTGCTGGAAAAGAAAAAAAAAGTCAGGATAATTCAGACTGAGTTACTCAATACAGGATAACTGAGTTGAAAAAAGGGAGAAGGACAGTCTGTAAACAGATGACTATTGTAACCAATATATCTGGGGTGGGGGATGCCAATTATCAACTCATCTCTCATTTAAACACAAATAGTAGAAAAACCCATTTAAAATGAGTGTTCATTAAAGTGCACCGCTCCCCCCGGCAACTGTGCTTCCTGTCTTGCTTGGAATGATTCAGTGGGTCTCCTTTCTCTCCAACCCCCAACCCAGTCCCACGGAATAAAGAGACTGCATTTTTGAGAAGGACCCACAAGCGGGGGAAACTCGGCTTGGGGGTGAAAGCAGAGGGGTAGATTTACCTTTGAATCAGATGAAGCAGGGAGGTCAGTTTTTAAGGAATGAGGGGCATCCTCTTCAGAAGGAGGCAGGACAGAGGCCTCCTGGTGGGCTCTGGCTGGAGAGGAGCCTGGAAAGGAAGGACTGTGAGTCAGGTTGGGCCTGGGGGAGGAAGTGGGAGGAGCTCCCCATCTAATCCCCAGACCAAGCCAGTCTCTCATTTACTCCCTAAACGCTTACTGCTGTCATTTCCTGACACCCATCACACACCAGCCAACACCCTACTGGAGCGTCAGCTCATTAAAGCCTTGTGACAACCCTATGACATAGGTCCTGTTTATCATCCCATTTGACAAGTGGAGACAGGGAGGCACTGGAAGTGGAGTTACTGTGCAGGACCACACAGCCAGCAAGTGGCAGGGCCGGGATCCAAATGGAAATCTGTTTGAGTTCTAACCCTTGCACCACCCCACCTCCCATTCAAAGAACAGTGAAGGACACAGAAGTGAACTGGCTACCAAGCCCACCTTCAAGAAACCTCCACTATGGCAGGGATGGCAGTGACCATACTTCGAGGATATATCCCATAGGAAAGTGAGGTTAAAGGCAGGAGAGACCACAGCAGGTTGGGAGACAATGAGGGTTTCACAGAGGAAGTGACATTCAACCCAGCTTGAAAGGTGGGGAAGCATTTTTGACAAGTGGATATGGGGCAGGAGGGACTGAGGCAATGGAACCAGTGGGTGCAGAGGCAGGTGGGCCCAGAGGAGCCCTAAGTAAATATCCAGGTACATTTAGTTAGCAAACACGTCAGGTCAGGCACTGTTCTAAATGCTTCATGTGTATTAACTCATCTAATCCTCACAGCAATCCTAGGAGATGAGGTTTCATTACACCATTATCATCTCCTCTTTGAAGATGGTGACGTGAGGCAGAGAGAGGGTAAGTAACTTTTTCAAGGGCACACAGGCAGTGGCTCCAGAGTCCATGCTCTTCATCCCTTAGTGAGTAAAAAAGATTCATGAGAGAGAAGGCTTAAAGAATAGTTCAGGGTCAGATAAAAGTCAGGTTATAGAGGGTAAAATTTCTTCACCAGGCATCACATGAAGATTAATCTGAAGACGAACTAGACAATCTGGGGTCTGCTAGTGCAGGCTGGAGATAAGATGACTGCTGGTCCACATAGAAGCAGGCCTTAGCCAGAGGCCAGAAGCTTCAGACGTCCATCATCTGGAAATACCCAGGGGGTCAGGGGGTCCCACAGCAGGAACAGCTGCTGAGTAACTGGGGACCTGGCCCTTCTGAGGGAACTTGGCCTTGACCCCAAGAGTGCTGGACAAATCTACCTAGGTTTACAATATCAAGAAAGGGGTAACTAAGCTGGAACTTGGACCATAAATAATTAATTCAGGAGATTGAAAACAGCAACATAGCAAAAATAGAATCAGCCTTGCTAAACCATTAACCCAGACAGGTTAATAGCTGATAACAAAACTCACCTGATATAAGGCCTGAGGCTCGTTCGTTTCATCACCCCGAGCCCAAGACCCAGGGCTGCCCTAAGCCTCCTTCCCTTGGTAGCACTCCAACTGCTGGCAGCCTAGCCAACTCAGGGCCCTGGCCACTCACTCTAATCCATCCCTGCATCTGCGTCCAGATCATGCTTCTCACAGCTGCTCCCCCAGGCACTGAGTGCAGAGGGGATACTAAGGCAGACTGGTGCTGGGAAACACAAGACTCTGACGGCCAAATGACACCTGGTGAGGCTGCCTTAGCAGGCAGGCTAGGAAGCACCACTCCACCTTCCTTCCCTCTCTCCTTCCTCAGAGACAGACTGCATCATGGCCTGAGGCTCCCCAAGCCTTGCCCAACACCCTCCCCATTTTCTCCAGAGTATTTGCCCTAATGAAATCCCATCTTGGCATTTGCTTCTCAGGGGACCCAGTCTAAGGCAGGCCTCTGCTGGCTGGCTGAGGACCCCTGTCCTTCAGAAAGGCTGCTTCCCCAATGGCCGCCTCTGCCCTTGCCCTGCCTTCTCGTGGCCTCAGCTCAGTACCCTTGGCCTGTGTCCCCCAAAATGAGGTCACATTCACCCCATCTCCCAGTCATTGGCCACGTCTCTGTGCTACCTCTCTATGAGTTACTCAGTATTCTTGCAATCAACTTTATTTCATGTATGATGCACTTAGCCTTGTCTTAAACAACAACATCCATGAAATCCCTCACTATGTATGCATATGGTCTATATTGCCCTGACACCCAGGATGTCACGTATCACTGGAGATGCAGGCCCCACACTCTGGGAGCCACTGCTCCAGGCTGACTCAACTTCCATCCTGTTTCCTTGAGTTCTGCCCCTCTGCTCTTGCCACCCCAGTGCCTGGCCACAGGACAGGGCTCTCTGCACACAATCCCTCAGTCCTCTCCCTTTGCCCAGTGACTCTGAGGTCAGAGATAGCCTCCCACAAGCTGGGACTTTTTGGTCTGACTAGATGCCTGGGGTTTGCTCAGGAGGCTACACCAGGCCTCTCTGCTTGTGGGGATCGGTGAGGTTTGCTTCTGTGACATACAAAGGCCACTAGGTCAGGGAGCAGCTAAGTCTGTTCATCCCTATAGTTTTGGAAAAAAGGGGAAGGGATGTAGACCAATTTCACAAGGCGGATGAATCAGACAGGAACCACTAGCCGTACTCTCCACCCTTCTCATCCCTCTCGCACCTCCTTTGGGACCTAATCCCATAGGCTCCTCATGCTCAGGGTGGCCATCTGTGGTGGGAGAAACTCCTCAACAACAACCTTTTAAGGCCCCCACTGTATGTCCAAAGGGCGGGCAGAACAAGAGTAGGAGGAACTATATCAAGGACACAAAAATCTCCCTGGGATTTAGTTCCAAGCAACAGAAGTCTGCCATGAGCTAATCACCACTGAAGCTGGGCGATGGGAACGTGGAGGATCTTTGCTTTTGCACGTGTGTGAAATTTTCCATCTGAAAATGTTTTAAAATAGTCATCTCAGGGAGGGAAGGGAAAAAGCTCAGGATAGTAGATGAAGCAAGATGGGCCACGTGTTGGTACTCAGTGACAGGCAGAGGGGGCCTCACTGTACAGCTTCTTCTGCTTTTGTATATGTTGAAAATTCTCCACGATGTAAGAAACACACACACACAAACACCCCCACCATGGGACAAGGTTAGCACTGGAGAGAAGGCTGAAAAGTGGGCTGCCAGTGTGGTCCTACACCTAGCACATAACTTGGTGTCTGGTGTTTGTTTCACAGATGCTCATGGAAGGTCTGGGGGGCCAGGACACACTTCCATGCCTCATTTATCTAGCAATGTCAGAGAAGGCATTGGTCTACATAAATGTCCTTTCCAAAACACTGAGAGTTAAACTTCTGTGTGCCAGAACTTAAGAAAAACCATTTCCTACACGAATCTTTCTAGAATATCTGTTATCCTAAGCAGAATGCACTGAATCCCATCCTGCTGAGTTGTGTCACTGCAGGTATGAATATATGATAGATACAGTGATGCCGTATCTCTGTGTCCTGCCCTGTGGCTGCCAGCGGCTCTATCTCCACAACTTCCCCACCTCCTTTCTTGGTATCAGACAGGACTTGGCTTGAGTTCTGGCTCTGTCATTGCCAAAGATCTGACCTCAGGTGAGGTGTTTCATTTCTTTGAGCTTCCTCGATTGTAAAAAAAAGCAATAATAGTTTGTTCCTTGTACAGTTCCTGTCCCGATTAAAAGAGATGCTATTTATAAAGCACAAACATCAGCCTCTGACACATAGGGAGTACTTAGCATTTTTCCACAGCTGGTAAAACTAAACACATAGTGTAAAAGTAAACAGATGCTGATTGACAGCCCAATGGCCTCTCCTATAGCTGAGGCCTTGTAATGGTTATTTCAGCACTCAAAGCCTTTTGTATCTGGGCCGGCCCGGTGGCGCACTGCTACAGTGCGCCGTTTGGGAGCGTGGCCGCGCTCCCGCCGAGGGTTTGGATCCCACATGCAGACCAGTTCCCGCTCACTGGCTGAGCGAGGTGTGGGCGCAGCACCGAGGGTTGCGATTCCGTTGCCGGTCCCGGTCCGGTGCGGGCGAGACACTGAGGGTTGCGATCCGTTGCCGGACACGAAAAAAGACAAAAAAGGAAAAAAAAAAAAAGCCTTTTGTATCTGAATTCTAGCTTTAAGAATCTGTTTAATGAGGTGCTCATAACCTGTCTGTGGTTCCTCTGCTCACATATTTTCCTCCTGCATGTCTCTTCCCATCTCCTTCCCACCTATTGCAAGTGGGAGTCACAATATCCCAGGGCTCAAGACGTGGGCTCTGTATCCTCTGCTCCTACAAAAACCCTTTGAAGTAGTCAATCGGGCTGGCCAGTTAGCTAAGTTGGTTAGAGCACAGCCTTATAACACCAAGGTCATGGGTTCAGATCCCTTACCCACCAGCCACCAAAAAAAAAAAAAGATAATCGGTTTGAACTTAGGGCTCAATGGAACCATGGGGGTTCTCCCAAGAGAAGACAGGCTTTGGGTGATTTGATTAAATGAATGATTACTCTCATTATTTTCAGCTTAGGCAAAGAGAGTCGACTTCCTGTCTCTGTCAGCAGATTGTATTTATCATCTCAACCTCCCTTAGCACATTCGCACCTAAGGGCACAAACAAACTAATTCACCCACATACACACACACACACACACACACAAAAAAAAAAACCGGAGGGGGGTGGGGTGGGTAAGAAGATATAACAACTATACTTCCATGAAGTTGTTACAACAAGCAAACGCAAAGGACATTCTTGGGGGGGAGGGGAGAGAGGGAGGAGGGAGGGAGGTGTCGATGACGGGCCATAATAATCATATACAGTGTATATTGACAAAATAAAAAAAAAAAAAAAAAAAACCCCGGAGGGGGGTGGGGTGGGTAAGAAGATATAACAACTATACTTCCATGAAGTTGTTACAACAAGCAAACGCAAAGGACATTCTTGGGGGGGAGGGGAGAGAGGGAGGAGGGAGGGAGGTGTCGATGACGGGCCATAATAATCATATACAGTGTATATTGACAAAATAAAAAAAAAAAAAAAAAGAAAGTAAACACTGCAGGGCCGGGCCTTTGCTCACTTGGGAGAGGGCGGTGCTGATAACACCAAGGCCATGGGTTCCGATCCTATATAGGGATGGCCAGTTCGCTCACTGGTTGAGAGTGGTGCTGACAACACCAAGCCAAGGGTTAAGATCCCCTTACCGGTCATCTTTATAAAAAAAGGGAAAAAAAAAAAAGTAAACACTGCAAAGGCTGACAGAGACACATGACAAGCTGCTTGTTTTTTTGTTTGGGGGAGGGGTTTGGGGGCTGGCTGGTACAGTAATCGAACCCTGGACCTTGGTGTTATCAGCACCATAGCCACTTGTTTTTATAGTAACCTGGATAAGGAACATCAAAAGAAACTGCTAGACCCGTTACCTCCTACATTCTGATCAGCACTTCCCTAGAATTTCCCTATTTTAATGTTATTTTTCCCTTTGGCCATCAACCAGTATTATGGTGGTCTTAAGACCATTTCCCCTTATCTTTAATTGCTGATCAAAGTTCTGTGCTTTGGGGTTTTTTGTTTTTTGGGTTTTTTTTTTTTTTTATCTTTAGCTACAGGCAATAATCCATAGTCCTTGGCCTAGATTTAATTTTCCAGACTCAGCCTATCTGGGGTGTGTCTGGAATGGTCCTAGTATCAGCTAACATTTAGTGAGCACTTCCGAGGTGGCAACACTGAGGTGTATGATTCCTCACCACAACAGAATGAAACAGGACCTATTATTATCCCCATTTTACAGATGAAGAAACTGAGCTAAAGAGATGCTGAGTAATCCTCCTGCTAGAAAGTGGCAGAGTTGGGATTCAAATCAGGTCTGCCTAATGCAAAAGCCCACAATACTTGCTCCTCTCTGGCCGATGCTGACCCTCGCTTTGGGCACCACATCCATGAACTGAGATCTCATGGATCTGGAATCACTGGACCCCCAACTCAGGAGGCTCCAGGGGAGAGGCAGTGAGAATAGAGACATGGGACTAAGTAGTGGTTGCTCCTGGGGAAGTCATCTGCTGGCAGAGTCTTGTCATTCAGCAAACTGTCCCCGAGCCCTTGCCTGGAACAAATCTCAAGTGGTCTGAAAGGCTTTGGGATAGCAGTAAGGGCAGTGGTTAGGGACGCCAGCATTCAAATCTCATGGCCCAGAAGCCACTTCCTACTCTGGTGACCCTGAAAAAATTGCTCTTCCTCTCTGTGCCTTAGGTGCCATAGGACAGCAGACCCATGACTGAGAGGGGAAGGAAGGTGGTGGGGCGGGCAGCACCCCTCAACTCCCCATTGCATGGCGGCAAGGGCCAGGTGCTGAGGCACTCAGGAACCCAGCCCAGAGACCGCACAGGGCCAACCTGTGCCAGGGGCCCAGTGGCATATGACCTGGGCCAGGTTGTTTAACCTCTCTGTGCTTCAGTTTCCTCATCTATAAAACGGGCATAATAATAATACCTAACTCATACAGTTGGCTGAGGAGTAAGTCAGTCAACATCTTTGAAGTACTTAGAACAGTATCTGGCACACAAAAAGCCCTCAGTTACTGAGTTTACTTCTCTTTTGACGAAAATAGTAATAAGTGGTATACAGTCTTTTATTACTCAACTTTTTTCACCTTTCTACTTCACTCTGCTGTGAGCATATTTCCAAGTACATACACGTATCTATGTCACCGTTGACAGAACATGATTGTTGTGACTGTCATTACTTTACCATCCCCCAATGTTGTTCCCCATTTTTTGCTCTTACAGGCTGAGCTGAATATCTGTATAGAAATCTATAAATCTCCATTTCCTTAAATACATTTGCTTTAAAAATTAAATAAGCATTTCCTGTACCAGCCAGCGACAAAAAAAAAAAAAAAAAGAAAGAAAGAAAAAAGAAATGAAATTAGAAATACCTGGGTCCGGAAAAGAATTCGGCCTCATTGGCTGCCCCTTTCCCTGCTTGTCTTCGGCGTTTCTTACAGAAGCTGCCAAAGGCCTTCCTGACTTCACGGTGTTTGGGAAGCCTGAGATGGAAGATCTGATTTCAGGAACTGATTTCCCTGAAAGCAAGTTGGAAAGCAAGTATTATTATTCCACGAAGTGGGACAGCCATTGAGAGGTTGGGTGTGAAAGTCAGAGACCTGGGTTCTAATCCTGATTCTGCCACAAATTTATGGTGTGACCAGGTGAGTCTTCTTTCCCTCTCTGAGCCTTTGCCACCCCAACTGTAAAATGTGGTGGTTGGACACAACAATCCCCTGTGATGGTCCAGCTCCGACATTCTGAGTCACACACACCTGGCTTCCAACCCTAGTAGCTGTGTGACCTTAGATAAGTCAATTTCCTCCTCTGAACCTCTGTTTCCTCATTTATACTGTAGAGGTGATAATATAATAATATCTGCTTGCCTCCCTCCCAGGGCTGTTGTGAGGTGGGAAATGAGAATCCAGATGTGAAAGGGCTTTGTAGACCATACACTTCCCTGAACATGTGAGCAAGTTAAAGATATCCATCCCTCCAAAACCCTACTCTAGCCTCTAGGTATAAAAGTTCTGGTTTGTCCCACAGCTTCCCTTCTACATGCTGTGGAAACACATGCATTCTTCCTTGTTTGATAGATGGGAATCCTAAAACAGCAGGTACAACTACTGAAGACCAACTGCTCCAGGCCCAAGCCCAGCTTCGCATACATTAACCTCATGCCTTTGCATTCTGTCACTGTTAGACATGAGGAAACTGAGGCCTGAGCAGGTTAAGTGACTTGCCTAAGATCACACAGCCAGAGGCAGGCAGGAGGCAGACTTCTCAGAAGTCACCTGCCTTCTCGAGAGTAATCAACTCCCCTTTGCACCAATTTGGGAAACCCCAAAGGTGCTGTGAGAGTGTGTCTACGCTGGCTTCCAGTCAGCTTCTGGAGCTGCTCTCTCCAAAACAGCTGCCTCTCCCCTCCTCCACTGCTGCTCTAAGTATCCCTTCCAGCTGGCCCTGCCTCCAGTCCAGGCGGCCTCCCCACTCCTCACCTGGCTGCATCTTACCAAAATACAGACCTGGCCTTGTCACAATCCTGCTTAAAGCTTTATGGCTCCCCATGCCTGGATAGTGTCCACCTCCTTAGCCTGAATCCTTCTATCTCCCCAATGCCTCCCAAATAAAACCCCAATTCTACAGCCCTGCATTCAAAGCCCTTCACTCCCTGGTGGTTTGGGGTGGACCCATGTTTAGGAACCACAAAAATGGGGGCACTGAAGTCCTGGGGAAGAGGCTGCTGACTTGCTTAATCTCACACCGTGCATCAGGGAGGCTGGGACGAAATGTCTCCAGCAACATTTATTCCAATAGGTAAACCGTGTCTCTGTGAACAGCTCCAATTGTTACCCTGGGACCTAGCTTTTCGAACACAAGCTTTGGGACTAAAACAATAATAATAATGCCTAAATTTGCATGGCTCTGCCCTCATATGGCACCAGGCAGATTAATTTAATTTTCACAACTATTTCTGGAGGTTAACAGAATTATCTGTGTTTTATTTTTGAGCACATAGACACTCAAGTGAAATCACTTGTCCCAAGTCAAATAGCCAATAAGGTCAAACCTCAGGTTGGTTTCACTGTCTGCCCACCTGAGTACGGCACAAGTACTCAGACACCACTGTCATCACCGCCATCCCCAACCCCCAAGTCCCCCCTGCAAATGGCTCAGTCCCTGGAAAAACAACAAAGGGGTGAGCACTATGATTTCCCCAGGGCAGGGGGGACGTCAGGAATACACAAAAATAAGTCTGACTGGAAGGGATTGTGGGGTGACTTTTTCCTTCTGTTTCCTTTACTATCACTGACATAGTACTCTTTTAAATAAGCCTACCTTATAAAAGCAGCAGCACAGCTTTGCTATTTAGGGTTCAGGCGCTGGAATGGAAACTAGTTCCATCACTCCCCAGCTGTGTTTACTTTGGACAAATTTTATGGGGACTAAAGGAAACAGTGCCTGTGAGCTGCTTGGCTCAAAACAAAGGACCTCTATTAGTGTGGGTGTTATTATATTTTTAAATATTGGTTATCTCTTTAAACAGCCCACATACTGAGTATAAGGAGAACTGGATGGGAGTCTTAATTTTTATTTAACACAATTCTGAATCATTTACATTATTTTTTTAACTTGGGTTTTTTTCACTTTGATAATAACTAAAAAGATGTATGGATCTAATCATTGGCATGAAAAGGTGTTAACAACACATTGTTGAATGAAAAGGGTAGGCAACAAAAGAGCAAATACACATTACCAGTTTTTGGTAAAATACATGTAAAAGTATAGAAGAAATCTACATGTGAGGAGAAAAAGAGCCCGAAGAATATACAATAAAATGTTAACAGTGATTATTTCTGGGGGGTGTGATTATCAGTGATTTTATATTGTGGGGTATTTTTTCTTTTGGTTTATTCATATTGTAGAATTTTCCAACAATTATCATGCATGATTTGCACAGTAAAGTATATTTCTTAAGAAAAAAAAAAATCAGCAAGCAAGCCAGCTAAAATAGTGACTAGAACTGAGTCTTCCCAGCCAGAGTGAGTAGTGCTTGCCCTGGAGACCCTGGCCCAGATGAGTGAGCAGGCCGTCGATGAATCAGCCCTCACTAGACTCAGCTCCAGTTCACTTCTGTCTTTCACCAAGACTGTCTGAGATGTGTCCTTGATATTTTTCACCCAAAGTATCCTCCCCACAACCCTGGAAGTCTTAATTGGGGAAGCTGAGACTCCAGGAAGTGCTGAGACCTGCCCGAAGGAGAAAGGGCAGGAAAGAGGCATTGAGGCAGGAAGGTGGGTTCCTCTGCCAGAACCAAAGTGGGAGGCCAGGCCTCACTGGGGACCCCAGAGAACACACACCTCAACTCTCCCCACCTGGGGTCCTCAGGCTTCATGGTCCATGCTATCTCCACCCCAACTCCCATGGGGCCTAGGCCCGAATCCACTCCACCAGTGGCCCTGCCAGCAGGATTCAGAGTCACTGTCTTCACCTTATGGAACACCACAACCTTCCACAGGCCCAGGAGGAGAACCAACATCCCTTATACAGAGTGACACAATGAACAACCGCCGGCTGCATGCTGCGTCAAGAGCGGGTCTGGAACTGAGCGGCCCGCTCCCAGGGTGTGTACAGGGGTGAAGACAGGGCCTCATGCTGCCCCAAGTCTTCATCTTCTCCAGCCTCCCCTCTCCCACCACCTGCCTCCACAAGCCGCCTCAGGTGGGAACTGCGTTCCTCAAAGGGCCATGTCAGTGACATCCTCATGACATCAGTGTGTGAAGCACAAGGGCAGAGGTGGCTCCCCTGGCGTGGGACCAGCCAGGCTCGCTGGTGAGGTGACTTCCTGACAGTGACCTCCTGCAGAGGCCAGGCCCACAACAGTACGAAATGCTCTCAGATGAACCAGCTCCCGAATGGTCCCACCTGCACCCCAAATGGCCCACACCCCAGCAGATGAGGCAGCTTCTCCCTGTGTGAGGCCCAGCTAAGCCTCAGTTTCCTTATCTGTAAAAGGGGAATGAGGGCAATAATCCCAGCCTTAGTTAATTCAGTGTCCTATTCCTAATGACTTTCTTGTTCAGCACAAATCTCTGTCTCTCTGTCAAGACATATTTGGCAGGAACATCTAGGCGACCAGCCCACTTCTGACTGATCACTGGGCTCCACCCATCAGGAATAGAAAAGGCTTCATTATGTTTTCATTCTAAGGACAGTCCAGCTTTTATCTTTCTTATTCTTGTTCTTTCACCAGTGACATGTGGTGGCCTATGCCTGGCAGAGTGGGTCATGCAGAAGTGTGCAGGGATGGGAGAACACACACGGGAGGGGATGGCAGCACGGCTACAGCCTGCAACCGAACCTGACAGAACATTTGGGGATGTCACACAAGAGGCACATAATCACACTTGAAAGGTCACACCCGGCCACAAATGTCAGCTGACAGAACCTGACTTCAGGCCCCACAAGAAGTTCTGGTTTCCTGTGAAACCCCCATCTCAGTGTGCTTTAGGTTTTCAGATGTCTTTTATTTATTTATTTATTTATTATTTTATTTATTTATTTTTTAAATTTTATTTTGTCGATATACAATGAGGTTGATTATTGTGGCCCATTACCGAAACCTACCTCCCCATTACCAAAACCTCCCTCCCTCCTCCCTCTCCCTCCTCCCACCCAACAGTGTCCTTTCTGTTTGCTTGTTGTATCAAGTTCAAGGAGTTGTAGTTGTTAAGTCTTCTTCCCTCCCCCCCCTCCACTGGATTTTGTGTGTGTGTGTGTGTGTGTGTGAATTTATTTATTTTTAGCTCCCACCAATAAGTGAGAACATGTGGTATTTCTCTTTCTGTGCCTGACTTGTTTCACTTAATATAATTCTCTCAAGGTCCATCCATGTTGTTGCAAATGGCAGTATTTCATTTCTTTTTTTAGCTGAGTAGTATTCTATTGTGTATATGTACCACATTTTCCGTATCCACTCATCCAATGATGGACATTTGGGCAGATTCCAACTCTTGGCTATTGTAAAGAGCGCTGCAATGAACATTGGGGAACAGGTATACCTTCGACTTGATGATTTCCATTCCTCTGGGTATATTCCCAGCAGTGGGATAGCTGGGTCATATGGCAGATCTATCTGCAACTGTTTGAGGAACCTCCATACCATTTTCCATAGAGGCTGCACCATTTTGCAGTCCCACCAACAATGTATGAGAGTTCCTTTTCTCCGCAACCTCGCCAGCATTTATCGTTCAAAGTCTTTTGGATTTTAGCCATCCTCACTGGGGTGAGATGGTATCTCAGTGAAGTTTTGATTTGCATTTCCCAGATGCTCAGTGATGTTGAGCATTTTTTCATATGTCTGTTGGCCATTTGTGTATCTTCCTTTGAGAAATGCCTACTTAGCTCTTTTGCCCATTTTTTTATTGGGTTACTTGATTTTTCTGGTAAAGTTGTTTAAGTTCCTTGT